GACGTCGCGCCTCGCAAATGCCTTGAAACCAAAGGAACATCTCGCAGGGAGCGAGTTACTTTTTTCTCATGGCGACGGGTGCGTCCGCGCGCATCCCCTGCGCCGCCGACTAGACCGCTGACCGCGTCCGCCTGCGCAGGCTAGGTGCAAGGAAGGACAGCCATCGATCCCTCCTCCTGCAAGAATGGCAGCAAGTCTTCCAGCAGACTGCGCGGGCCACACCAAAGCTCGGTAGTAGTCGTCCTCGCTCGTGCCAATGAAGCACCAGACCCAGTCATCCATGCGCAACAGCAACGCACTCGCGTGATGGCTCGCTTCTTGAATCTTTTGCGGGGCGCACCTAGCCTCGACCTTGGTCTTCATCGGCGACATGTCCCAGTATGGATCGTCTCCCGGATCGCCGTGATGGTCGCGCAGCATCTGCTGAGCCTCTTGGAGTTCTCCCGGCTGTCTGTGTGAAGCGGTGCCACGAAGGCGCGCAGGTGCCACTCGCAAAGGCGGCTAGGTTTCCAGTCGGGGCGTTCGGGACGGCCCGTGCGAAGCCGACGCTCACATATCCGGGTGTGAGCCCACGATGCAAGGACCGAGAAGACATCCGTGAAGCCTGCGTCCGCCGCCGAAACTCCAGGAATCCGGCTGCTTCTCGAAGAGTGTCGCGCAAGGTCCTGGCCGCAAGCCAGCCTCAGGTCTCGGTCTGTGTGAGTAGCAAATGCAGAGCCAGCTCGCCACGCAAGTCCAAAGTCAGCTCTAGGCTCACCCATGTGGACATATAGCCCGCGCAAAAACACATCAGCCAGCCAGACTATCTATGAGCTCTCCCACCTCAAGCCAAACAAGTCACTGAGGCCCGACAGGCGTAGTGCTCAAAACTTCCATCTACTACACCTGGTCAATGTCACCCACCATCAACCTCTGCGTGTCTCGCGCGTAACATGTAATGTCGAACAAGACTGGCAAGAAGATCATGGCTCCTGAGCTGGGGCAGGAGTGCGGCTGAGGTGGTTGGGATTGAGTTCCACCCAGCCAGCAGAGCGATTCGGAGTGCCCGACCTGGCTTGTCTCAACCTCCAGAAAATCGACCGATGGCTAGGACTATTTGCCCGTGACGGTATCCATTTGTGTAGATGACATCTCAGAAGACTATGCAGGTCGAGGCCTGCAAGGTGTCTGGCATCTACAGCCGTCCCCGAGGACGATTTCTGCATGAGTGTCCGGCGGCGAGGCAAGTTCCACGTCTTTCGCCTGCCTGCGCGCGCCTGTTCCAAGAGACAACGCGCGCATATCACCTGCTTGTCGGTCACTCTGGAGCTGAAGCAGTATACCTAAGGGCCGCGAAAAAAAACACGATCGAGCGAAAAGTAGCCGCAGTCCAAAGCCCGACCTTCCTGGGGAAGCCATACCAACGCAAGCAGTCCCGTGATACAAACCCTCGCCGCGACCCAACATTTTCACGGTAGCGGAGAGTGAGGCTCCTGCTTCCCACACCCAGCCACCTCGCACTCCGAGGCTGGCGCGAAAAACATGTTCGGCGAGATCATCGCCTGCTTACATGCCGCGCGCGTGCAAGAGCAGCGCAACTGCGCGAACCTCAGCGACTTGATCAGGTCTGCGTTCTGTTCTTGTGTTGTTGTTGGTGAGCCGGAGGCACTCACGGAGCAGGCTGGCGTCACGAAAAAACCCGCTTTAATGAATCAAGTCAACGGCTTGGCAATAGTAGATCAGCTGTACGCGTGTGTACAGATACGCTTTCAGCACTTCACAAACTGCTTGCAGAGCGGCGTGCGTGGTGGTGCTTCCCCACCGCTGGAAAGTGTGATTTGGTCAGCACGGGCCTGCCCAATCCGTTGCAAGGCGCCACGCAGGCGAAACTGCTCTTAGCCGACTCGAAGACCGCAATCTGCTGGAGTCTAGCCACTTGATCCAGTTGATGGCCGAAAACATCCTATTAGCGAAACAGCCGGTCGGCCCAACCTGCGCCCCTAGCTGGTCTCGTAGCACGTACCCGCTGTCTAGATGCGGGCAGCGGGTTGTGGCCTTCTTTTCTCATATTCTCCAAGATCGCTGCCAGTGGATCGCCAGTCTTGAAGCGATGCGTGCCACGAAACAGCACCAGCTAGCCCAGATACTTGCGAAAGATGTCGTATCCAAGCGTGCCAGCTGCCGCTGCGACGCCGCTGCCCTTCTTCCCCGAAAGCCTCCATTAGGGAGTGATTCAGCACCGGGTTGAGCTGCAGGAAGTCGCCAGCATCGCTGTTCGGGCGCCAGCCGGGCCCCGCACGGCGTATTGCGGTTTCTCTGCGTCTCTTGTTGTGTTGTTTTTTCTCCTTGAAAATTTGAGGGGAAGGCTTCAGGGTTTGCTCCGGGAGACGGCGAACAGGGGGGTGTCCGCGACATGCGTGAGATGCGGACGACCCCATCCAGCGGCCGCGTTGAGGACTTTCAGCAGCGGTGGCGGCGTCAATGAGATTTTGTTGAGGAAGGACAGCGCTAGCTTCGTCCAGCGACGCAATCGCTGCTTCGAAGGCTTCAAGCGCAAGTCCTGCGACCGGGTGATGCCCGCCATGTAGTGGACGGTGCTGCCTCTGATCAAGCGCGCAGCGCTGTTCGCCGCGAGCGCAGCGTGGCAAGTACTCTGCGCAGAGCGGCAGTACTACTTTCGTCTGCATGTACGTCTTGCCGATGCCGCCGGGGCCATGAAAAAACATGCGTCCCACCACCATGTCCTCGCGTGGTCATATCTGACTGCTCTGCAACTCAACAAACTACAGCAGCGCCCCAGAGCTCTACAATAAGTAAATGTTAAGACAAAAAAATACGTCGAGTGTCCGGAGTGACAAAGGTAGCAGCTCGTGCAGTCGATCCGCTTGGCCAAAGGCTGCTCGCATGCCCTGCTCGCCCGCCTTCGCCCAGAGACGACGGAGCGGAGCTACGGCGAGAATCACCGCATGGTACTGGTCCGCGGGGATCGCAAACTTGCCGTCGCCGGGGCCGGCAGGCTAGCAGCGCTAGCTCCCACGCACGGGCAGCTGGGGAGACTGTCTCTACAGAAACGACAGGGGCCAAGCCGGGTTCTGCAAGAGTGTCGCGGAAAGTCCGTTTCCTCCTCTTCAGAGACATCCAAGTCCTGCGCTTCTTCGCGACCGACTTCTGCCAAGCCAAGCCCTCCCCAGATGAAACAGCAAGCCCATGTGTTGAATATCTAACGCAAGGCCGCGATTGCTCTGATATCTGATATCAGGCCGAAGCGCACCATCGTTCTCCAACACCTCCACCTCCGGGCCTGCCATGCCTCCAAGGCAGTCTGTCGCGTCAAAACGTCCGGGCTCTCCCGGCGCAGATTAGGACTTGCGCCGCATTTGGACGCAATACCCCGGGCTGCGGGCGACGCCTCGCCTCCGCCATGAAGTCCAGGTTTGCGGACACCTCCGCAGACTGCGCGGCCACAAACTCGGCCGCGGACAGCGCGTCGCCTACGCCAGCGCAAGATCGCTCCACGTGTCTGACACAACGTCTAGGCTCCGCAGCTCCACCGATATAGGCCATCTGCGCCTGATAGACGCGAGCCCGCTCCATGCGCCAAAAGAAAACCCAAAGGGCCCGAGCGAAGGCTAGCGTCGGCGCGTGATGTAGCAAGCCGAACGCGGCTGCGACGGCCGCCCGAGTCACATGTCCGAGATACAACTTAAACGACCCTGTTGCGCCAGACTTATAACAGACATAGTCACACCTCTTCGTATGAATCAATTTGCTTCAACTAACAAAGACACGCGCACGCACACACGCGCCCGACATGCAACCACACACCCGCATACTTTCAGGACACACGAGCGCGATGCGATCTGTCCGCTACCTTGTGGATCGACGTTTGAACACTCCTGGTCGACACTTCTGAACGACACTTCTATCTCCAAATGTGCGCCACGCCACAGCGAGAGCGATTCGACCCACCCAAAGTGCGCAGAGGGTTCACTTTGCGCGCTCAGAATGCGCAGCGCGCCACAGCCAGAGTGATTCGACCCAAAGTGCGCAGAGGGCTCTCGCTGAGTCAAAGTAATGCGCCTGCCACAAAATCTACACCCAGGCGCCAAAGCACTGCGCCTGCCACGAAATTTGCACGAAAAGCTCCACGGTGCTGTGTCTGCCACGCAATTCAACCAACACGCTCGAAAGTGCTGCGCCTGTCACGCGAAGTAAGCTTTCCACGAACTCCAAATCATCCAAACTGCTGCGCCTGCCACGAAATCCAACTTTGGCGCGTTTGCGACACGCATCCAAAACTAGCGCGGGACTGTGGCGCCAGAATAAATTTAACCAATTTTGACATGTTTCAAGCTTGCCAAGATCACATGACAGGGCCAACGAAAACGTGCCAAGCAGGACACCACCCCTGGAACGCAAATCCTAATGGCGCCTGCGCGGCGAACTACACGCAACCCTGCAACAGACACGATTCACGCACGGGCGCAACGAATTCAGCGCTTCAGGCCTCATCGAAAAGTCACTTTTTGCGACAACCCCAATGGCACGGCACCTTTTTCCACATGCGGACGCTCGCGGATGCTTTCGAACGCTTGCGGACGCTTTCGGCCACACGCGAGCCAACCATCGAACACAACCTTACCCCCAGACCCCATTTAATAACGGGAACCCTTCGCTACGCATTCGGGAAGAACATGGCTGTGAGGGTTAGAGTTGACGAGTTGAGGCCTCAGTTTCCGTCGCTGGGCGAAATCATCGTGGCCGAAAACGACGGTTCGGACATGCCTGCGAAAAAAGAAGGGGGCGGCGCCGACAACTTGTTTGTGTTGAGTGTTTCCAAAGCTTGACTGTCTCACGCTGAGGTGAAATCAGAAGAAAACCACCCACAAAAAGAGGCATCTGTTTTTTGACGCCTTCCCACCTGATGCACTGGGTATTTTCTTAACAGGAGCCCCCCTCCAATAGTTGGTGAACCAATTGCCAGCGCTCGTCCTACAATTTATGGTACTCCCAGCCGGCAGGACATGATTGTAAAGATCGCAGACTTTGGCTGGGCAGCCAAGGCCGTGAGCTTGGGCTCCGAAGCCATCGGGGGAGAGCCGCAGGATCCGGTCTAAGGCAACACAAACAGACATGAGGAGCACCTTTTGCGGCACTCTTTGCATGTTGGCGCCGAAGCCTCAGAGTTTGGATTTGACAGCATGTGCCCCGAGTTACAAGACGCGGTGGAATTTCGCATCAGAATGCCCACCCCTTTCCTTGCACAACGGACGACTTCGTCCAGACAGTGGCTGCTAGGGTTGCGTTTTCGGATACCCCGACAAGTGACATGGCAGCTAATCGCGCCTGGGGGTTCGACAATGACACTCGCAGCGGGCTGGCCTTTTCAATGCCACTCAAGGCCAGAGATGATTGCTGGCAAGAAGTACGATGCAAAGGTTGACGCGCGAAGCTCGTGAGAGAACGAGACAGTAGTGCGCTGTTTGGAGAAGAGTGTTTGGCATAATTGGCGAACCTTGAGAGGCCTCACCAGGTTTTCATATTGCCTGCAAACTCTTGCTCTTCCTCTTACATTTCCTGAAGCACGATATGGAATGTTGACCCGTTTTTGGATGCATAGGATCCCCAAAATTTGTTTGGGGAACAGATCGTAGGGGGACAGATTGTTAAAGACCTTGTCATCTTGGGCCAGTTTTGCACTTTTGACGTTTTTTGACTGATTCTGTTGGTGTTTGTCGGAATTTGTCAGATTTTGTTGGCAACTTGTCATTTTCAACGTCTGGCTGTCGTTCTTGTTCATTCCTTATTGTTCGTGCTTGCTGTTGTTGCGGTTGTTGCTGTTGTCAATTGACGTTTGTTGCACGGTTGTTTGCTTGTTATAAAGCTGACTTTCTGAGCATGACAATAGGCACTGCGGATTCTGTGTGACTGTGTAGACTACATTTACAGCAAATTACATGTTGCCAAAACCTAACTACTGTTTACAATCTAGTTAGCGATCTACTGAAATTGTTGCAAGCACAGACGGCTACATCCCACAGACAGACTAAAATTGATTGATCAATGTCAATTTAAGTAGTTAACTTCCTTGATCATTCACTCACTAATTTAACACAATACATGCAAGTAGAACTCCGGGTGAGTGGGTGTAACATAATTATACTGATCAGCAAGCCTAACTTGCAACCTATGAGGAGCTAACGCAATCAGTGTTCCTACATCACTAGGCAGGAACTCAGTAAATTCTGTGACTCCCCACGTTCCTGTGAAGACCGAAATTCCCACAGCCATACCATTCATACGCCTGTGACAGTGGCTCTACATTGGCTGATTCCTGTGAACTGTCACTGTTGAGCCAGAGATTAATTTGCCGTACAATCTATGCCTCTTTGGGCTGACCGATTCCTGGAGCTTTACTAATGGTTAGTCAGGCAAATGTTGTCACTCTGCCGGACTACTGTAAACAAATACTTACCGAACCAAATTGTCAGGCAACACTTGTCTCCGTTCGTAGAAAGCAGATTGTCAGGCAATTAACTGTTTGTCTCCTTTGTAAGTGTTTTGTTTTAATTATGGTCATGCAAATGTAGTTTTGTCTCCGCAGGCAGAATCGTAGGCATTTAGTCTCCACTGAACTTTACGGTCAGAATGTCAGGTAGTCTCCAGACTTATGTATTTTGTTCAGATTGTCAGGCAAATCTAGTCAGTCTCCACAGAACTTTACGGTTCTCATTAGAAAGTCATATATTGGCAGGCAAACTTAGTCTCCGCAGGACTAACAAATCATATGTTACCAGCAGATAGTCAGTATTATATTAAAGTTGTCTCTGACACACGGTCAGATTGTCAGGTAAATGTTGTCTCCATAATATTACGAGATTGTCAGGCAAATTGCGTTGCCGCGTAACTTTTGTGGCTAGGGTAGTAGTAGACTTAACTTCTAATTAACTGTGGGTCAGGTAGATTCTGTTTCTGTAGTATTGTAGAGAACTAACTACTACTCAGTACTCTGATTACGGCACGGTTAGACTGTCAGTCACTAATGACTAAGTTTGAGGAGGTTTTGGAATCTGACCGAAATTCTGCGGAGACTAAAGTTGTATACGATCTGACCGTAATTCTGCGGAGACTAAATTACTAAAGTTGTTTACGATCCGACCGTAATTCTGCGGAGACTAAAGTTGTATACGATCTGACCGTAATTCTGCGGAGACTGAAGTTGTATACCATCTGGCCGTTATTATGCGGAGAACAAAGTTGTATACGATCTGACCGGAGAGTAAAGTTGCTAATATTGTCATTGTATACGATCTGACCGTAATTTTTGCGGAGACTAAAGTTGTTTACGATCTGACCGTAATTCTGCGGAGACTAAAGTTGTATACGATCTGGCCGTAATTCTGCGGAGACTAAAGTTGCACACGATCTGACCGTAATTCTACCGAGACTAAAGTTGTGTACGATCTGACCGTAGACTAAAGTTGCAACATATTGTCATTGTGTACGATCTGACCCTAATTGTACGGAGAGTAAAGTTGCTAACATTGTCATTGTATTACGATCTGACCGTAGTTTTTTGCGGAGACTAAAGTTGTATACGATCTGACCGTAATTCTGCGGAGACTAAAGTTGTATACGATCTGACCGTAATTCTGCGGAGACTAAAGTTGCATACGATCTGACCGTAATTCTACGGAGACTAAAGTTGTGTACGATCTGACCGTCATTCTGCGGAGACTAAAGTTGCAACATATTGTCATTGTATACGATCTGACTGTAATTGGCGGAGACTAAATTGAACTGTAGGCGATGTGAATCTGACCTAAAGTTGTGTACGATCTGACCGCAATTCTGCGGAGACTAATTTTTTATTTTCTTAAAGTCATGTAAAGCTATCTCTGGACGCGTAGGGTCCCCAATGATATTCAATGTATTCTTGAATTGAAGTTACGGCTTCGCCACTTTCCTCTTGCTGCTCTGTTTCCCCTTGCCTTCAAGAGACCAAACATAGTCGTTCGCAGAGCCAGGGCTGAACTCATACTCCTTCTGCAGCCATGTGGCGAACTCTTTTTCTTTTGTTCGCTTTCAATTCACGCGGTCTCCGCATTTGCTGCCGCTTGACAGCTGCCAGCCAATGTCCTTACTTTGGCCAACGACATGAACTACTTAATTTACACAATTGCTTGGGCAATAATTCAATAACAAACCTTTTGTGAGTGAGGAGTGTGGTCTGACAAAGCTGATGTATTTTCATTGTTTTATTAAATTAAAGATTGGTCGGTGTCCAATGTCCAAACTTGCTGCACGCTTGTCAGTCTGCGCCTGATTGTAAGCCTTGCGTTGAATTGTGTGTTGATTGATTGATGTGGCATGTCATGGTGAGTGGTTCATCACAGCCAGGTAGGTGGCAGTCCACGGCGCCGGTGATCAGCAAGCAGCTAGAGAATAGCAGAAGCGAACAACAGCAGTAACAGGAAAGACTCTGCCCATGTGATGATGTCAATGATGATGTCTGACTTCATGGTAGACATTGCGGTCCTGTGCGCCTTGCTCTACATCTGTGCTACAAGCTCATATTTCATTTATTGTATGCTTTGCAAGTGGCGCCGTAAGTCGACCTGGTGCCTGCAATGCACCCATTGCCAGCAGACTTTAGACTGTGTCAGAATCTCTGACACGGCCAAAATTAGTTTTGATGCACTGGCATACTTGTGTGTCACACCAAGTGGCGCACGTTTGCACACTCCCAATTGCAAACATGTCCGCTCACACTCTGTACAGAATTGTTCATTCTGCAAAGATTGTGTGGGCAACCGGACAGTTTCAATTCCCATTGGGAAGACGCCTGACAAGTCTACCAAGACAGGGGCATGAGAGTCCGGGCTCAGTGCCAATTATTGTCTTGTCTCGGCTTGTCAATGGGACGAATAATATAATGAATGATGACAGGCTTGCAAGCTGCTAAATGTTGCATCATAATTCGGTGGTGTGCTGGGTCACTCAATGTTCAGTGATTCACCGGTGAACTCAGTGGACAAAAAGAATTGGCAAGTCGTCCCCGGGCTGCTAGTTGTGACATGTGACTTCTTAAGTTCCAATTTAGTAGTAGTAGCGCGTTGTTGCTCGTGTTGTGTTTGTGTTGTTTCTTGTTAGTTTGTTCCTTGTTCTTGTTTGTTGGTCACTGATTTTTGGCTGTTAGTCTTTAATATTCAAAGGTATTACTGGTAGTACATAATTGGGCGCCGTAGCTGATTGAAATTGATTTGTTTTTTCAAGTTCCGTCAGTTCTTGTCTTTCTGTCGTTTTTTTTTTCTCTGGGGGGCCTTACGATCTGTTCACCTACAATTGTTTTAGTGATAGGAAGGTGTCTCGGCTTGTGCGTGGCGTCCGCTTGTTTCTCCTCGTAGCCCACTCCAGCTGGGTTCCTGCAGTGGCTTCCTTTTGAGACCGCTGAAGGCGGTTTTGCGTCATAATAGGCATTCGCCTGATCTTGAGGTGTGGGCCATTGGTGCGGGGGCCCCAACTTGGAGCTTTGCAAGCCCATCCACATCGGAAAGGTCTGGACGTTGCAAGGTGCTTCTCTTCGAGATGTTGACAGGTGGGCGCGCGTGTCTTCAGGGCGGTGAACAAGGAGTTGCAGCGCCTAAAGTTACTGCCAAAACCTGTAATCTGCCATATTGAAAAGGCAAGGAAAACCTGTGCGGGAAGCGTGTCTAGCTTGTGTTTGCGCCCAAACCAGCCCAAGAAACCTCAACCTACATTCTAACGCCCTAACCCTAAACCCTGAAACCAAATCCTAAATCGTGGTAACGGCAAGACCAAGAAACGTAAACCCTAACCCAACAAACCTGAACCCTGCCCACAGCTGTCAAGAACGCGGCGCGCTCCAAACCGCGCCTCTTGGCAGGCTGCCTTTTCCTAGCCCGCCACCCCCCCAAGCCTCCCACAGCAGACTCATCCATAGCGCATCGCTCGCCTTGGGTGCCAATCTCTTGAGTTCGCGGAAGCGTCCAGGCGCACTGCGCCAGCGGAAGGCAACCAGAAGGCTAGCGGGTTGTTCGCCGCGGTTCGCCTGAGTCAAACGGAGGCGACCGCATGCTGCTGAAACGCAGCAGAAGGAGCAAAGGAGTAAGCAGGTCTCGAACGCCGACGCTTTTGAAATCAGCGTTGCTGATTTTTTACAGAGAACGCGTCTAAATCGCCGCGTCAGCCGTTGGTCGCCGGTGCTGGGCTCGGGCATGGCAATCGATAGACACCAGGCTATCTACAGCTTCTTCACACTTCGCTTTGTCAAACGTTGCGTGCTGCCGAGGGGCTGGCCGATGAGCGCCTCCAACGCCAACCCTCCAAATTCGGATCACTTTCCACGCTCCGTCAGCGTCAGAAGTGCCCAACTGATGGGCAAGTCCGATCCGCCGGAACGCGACACAGGTGACGATGGCCAGGGGACGGTTCACGTCGCTAACCCTGAGCTTCAATACTGCGGGAGGCGGCTGTTAAGAAAGTCAGCCCCCTTAGAACTCCGAAGCCTTCGGAACCTACGTGCGTTGGTGTGTGCGTGGGTGTGTGCGCGTGGGGGTGCGCGTGGGAGTGTGCGTGGGTGCGCGTGCGTGCGTGCGTGCGTGTGTGCGTGCGTGCGTGCGTGCGCGCGTGCGTGTGTGTGTGTGTGGGTGCATGTGAGCGTGCGCGCGTGTGCGCGGCGTGTGCCGTGTGTGTGTGTGTGTGTGTGCGTGTTTGTGAGTGTGCTTGCATGCGTGTGTGCTTGTACGTCTGTGCGGTGTGTGCGTGTGTGCGTTGGTGCGTGTCCGCGCGTGTGCGTGCGTGCGTGCGTGCGTGCGTGCGTGCGTGCGTGCGTGCGTGCGTGCGTGCGTGGGTGTGGGTGCGGGTGCGGGTGCGGATGCGGGTGCGGGTGCGGGTGCGGGTGTGTGTGTGTGTGTGTGTGTGTCTGTGTGTGTGTGCGTGTGCGTGTGCGTGTGCGTGCGCGCGCGTGCGTGTGCGTGTGCGTGTGCGTGTGCGTGTGCGCGTGCGTGCGTGTGTATGTGTAGGTGTGTGTGTGTAAGCGCGCGTACGGTAAGTGTGTGTTTGTGTGTGTGTGTGTGTGTGCGTGTGCGTGTGCGTGTGAGTGTGCGTGTGCATGTGCGTGTGCGTGTGCGTGTGCGTGTGCGTGCGCGCGTGTGCGCGTGTGCGCGTGTGCGCGTGTGCGCGTGTGCGCGTGTGTGCGTGTGTGCGTGCGCGCGTGCGTGCGTGTGTGCGTGTGTGCGTGTGTGCGTGTGTGCGTGTGTGCGTGTGTGCGTGCGTGCGTGTGTGTGTGTGTGTGTGTCTGTCTGTGTGTGTGTGTGTCTGTGTGTGTGTGTTTGTGTGTGTGTGCGTGTGTGCGTGTGCGTGTGCGTGTGCGTGCGCGTGTGCGTTTTCGTGTGTGCGTGCGTTCGCGTGCACGTGCGCGTGCGCGTGTGTGCGTGCGTGATCATGTTCGTGCTGGGTGTGCGCACGTGCGCCCACGTGTCCGAACGTTAGCGTCCCGCAGCCCTCTACGCCACCCTTGTTGGTACGACTGGAATAAGTCTGAATGGGTCTACACCCATTTACATGTCTATTTACACGTACATATGGCCACAACCTTGGCCAGGTTCCTCCCCCTTCGACAAGGGGCAAGGTCTCATGGAGACCTGCAAGCTCCGATCTGAGAGTCCATTAGCTTGACGCGGCTGTTCATTCACCTTAGCGAAAAGATCCTCATAAAACACAAGGCGGGCAAGGCATCTGGGGGAGCGCATGAGCTGCTTGTTAGTGGGAGGGTTGTTCAAATGGCCAGCTTCGCTGCTGATGAAAATTTAGTGGCGGACTATACAAATATATGGGCTTGTCCTTTTTTGGTGTGTTGAGTTGCTTCAAAAGGCAGAAGGTGGGACCTCCCCGAATCATACCCCCGAATCATACACCCGAATCATACCCCGAAATCATTCCCCGAATCATACCCCGAATCATACCCCCGAATCATACCCCTTAAAACGTATGCTGCAAGATGCTACTGTTCTTCTACCGTTTTGTGTTGTTCACTGCCTCCACAACAGCCACCACCAGCGCTACCCAATACTACCACTACCACTACTACTACTACTACTACTATTATTACTACTACTACTACTACTATTCCTGCTGCTGCTGCTGCTCCTACTCACTACTACTACATACATCATTCTGAGTCTGTAATCAGTGTCGTTTTGCACCTAGCCGAATCATACCCGAATCATACCCGCGCAATGAACTTGCCTTGCCAAGGCCAGCGCCAAGTCTTTTCAAAGCTTCCGCGCCACTACTCGCTGCTTCTACTACTACTACTACTACTACTACTGGTACTAGTACTACTACTACTACTACTACTACGATTACTACTGCTACTGCTACTGGTACTACTACTACTACTACTACTACTACTACTACTACTATTGTTACTACTACAATACTACTACTACTACTACTACTACTGGCACTAGTACTACTACTACTACGATTACTACTGCTACTGCTACTGGTACTACTACTACTACTACTACTACTTCTATTACTATTGTTACTACTACAATACTACTACTACTACTACTACAGCTGCTGCTGCTGCTGCTGCTGCTGCTGCTGCTGCTGCTGCTGCTGCTGCTTCCGCGAATCATACCCCCGAATCATACCCCGAATCATACCCGCGAATCATGCCTGCGAATCATACCCGCGCTCAATCCTTCCTGCCCGGCCCCCGTAAAAAATACAAACCCACACATACATATATATATATATAAAAGCTGAAGCAAGAGTTAGTGTTGTTAGCACAGGCATGCATTTTCTTGCAAGGTTCACTGATGTCGGTTTGATTGTTTTTTTGAGGTGACCTTTTCTTTTAACTGTAAACGCTGCGCGTTGCCCGCCTCGACCCATCCTAGCGCGCAGCGTCTGTGGTTTGACTGCAAGCAGCAGAGCTGGTCAACCGATTCAGGAATGGGCAGGTTCTGGCGTCATTGGACGAGTTGATGTCACGGGCGGGAGTTGCGCAGGAATCCCCAAGGCAAGGGCTGAGTCAGGGAGTCAAGAGTTAGTGGCGCTGCATGCTGGGGAAGTGGATGTCATGGCGGAAGTTGCGAAGAAAGTCCCGACAACCAAAGCAGAGCGGTGGTGATGGATGCGCGCGGCGTGGGTCTTTTTCAAGGGTAGATTGGCCGGAGTCGGGCATTGGCTGCTTGCGCGGGCACATATGGGAATCCCATGCGCGCGGCAGTCTTGATCAACTGTGTTGGCGTGGGGTTGTGCTGGGCCTGCGACTGGGCTGGCTGGTCTCAGGCCAGACACGCCAGACAGCCGGACTGGGCTGTGGTTGCTGAGTTGTTTGCTTGGGCGCAGTTTGATGGTTGGGCGGGGCGGGACACTAGTTGCAGACACATCAGACAGGCCTGGTTAGCAGGAGATCATGCTTTCAAAAAGCCTGTTTTTTGCTGTTCTCGGCGCGTTGGTGGCCCCGAAAATTTTTGAAGCCCCGCCGCTGAGGGGGGGGTTGTTTGCGAAAGAGATCTGAGCGCCTTGGCCCTTTTGGGGCCGAGGCGAATTGAAAGGTTAACCGCACGGCAACAGCCCATTTTTGTTCCCTCACTGGCAGACATACCTATAGTGGGGGCAAACCGCCGATCTGCGCATGTGCCAAGGGCGATCGTTGGACCAGGATTGAGGGCAGTTTCGCTGGATGAGGTGAGAGGCTTAGAGCCTGGCATCAACATGGCAGTGTCTATGTTGCGTTCAAAGAATGCGGATAATCATGAAACCATTTCAATGGGGGGGGCGGGCGATCTCAAATTTCACACGTTTTGAAGAAGGGTTCAAACAGATCCGGCAAGCTTAGCGCCACACCATCAAACGCATGGAAACTCTTGTCGGCTGCGCGCGCTATCTTCTGTAGATCTACTGTGGAGGTGTGTCTCAAAACGCAGATTCTTCTTTTTGCTGGCGCATTGCATGTCCGCGACACCAAGCCTTAAGCGGAGGTACAGGCCGAGTCAAGAAATTTCAAGAACTTATTGCCATTGTTGTCACTGAGCAAGAACGCCCCGATTCTCATTCCCATCCGCCCCCGTCCGTCCCCATCCGTCGCCATGGCCACTGCTAGGGCAGCCATCAACCCATCAGTTTTGAAGAGCCGGATGACCTTGAAACCTTTGCATTTATTTCCCCGGCGCATGAACCCTGCGCGGGGCCAGGCGGCGCTCGTTGAACCAGTCAGACTCGAGAAATTCAGACAGGGGTAGCGTTCTGGAGACGGAAGGCGCAAGCTGTGTGGGGTCTGAGTCCGGCCGGGCTGAAGGAGGACGTGCGGACATGGAGCTCTACTACGTGGGAACGGAGGAGGGTTTTGTTCCCAAGCAGCCATTGGTGAGAGTGATCTGTTTGAGGATGCGGAGAGGAAGTATGGGAAGGCCTGCCGGTGGTAGATGACCTAAGAAAGGAGGTGCGAAAGTGGGAGCAGGCCGAGTGAGAATCACGCGCAGCGCAGGCATGGTGCCTGCACAAGCAGGCACCAGCGCCGCCCTGAGCGCGCCGCAAGGACACGGTCGACGAACAGGGCTCCAGGCAGAACCAAGCTTGAACCGCTGCAAGGCGGAAGGCAAGGTTGAGCCAGAGAGCGGGACGCCACATGGAATGGGAGGATGACCAGAGTGGGTGGTGGTGAAGAACTGGAGGGTGCGGAACTATTGGGATTTTGAAGGGTGAAGGTGGAGTTGCCAGAGCTCCCGCATGATGACTTGCCCTGCACCTTGGGGGAGGGACATCAACAGCGCGGGAGTGCTATAATGGTTGCTGTGACATGCCAGTCAGGAGGCCCTGGTCACTCATTCTCAAGATCGCCGACTTGGCCCCTCACAGGCATGTCAGAAAACTGAACGTGTTCGCCGACAACAAGGAACCACGCCTGGTCCTTGACAAGCGCGCCAGTGATCAAGAAGACGATGAAGCGAATGGCGGAGGCGAGGAAGGCCGAGGCTGAGAACATCGTTCAGGGCACGGAAACAAGCGCGGGCGGCCACGGTTCAAAGATGAAGTTGCTGGCGCTGATTGGAGCAGATTTGGCGGGCAAGGTGACCGCCTTGAGGGAGTCCATGTTGATGGCCGGCGCGATCCTCGTGGTCATTGGCGCGGTATGGCTGACGAAGCAAGCCGCGTGCTGCGGCGAGGTGTGTGAGAAGTCTGAAGTGGGTCGTGTGGAGGAGAAGCCCCGGGACATCGTCACAGTGAAGGGGAAAGCCCAAGACTTTGTTGAGGTAGCTCGCGTGGAGGAGCTCCATGATCAGTGGGGTAGAGCGTGGGTGGTGAAGGGGAAAGAGAGGGGGCTTGAGCAGGAGCGCCGCTGGACTGCGAATGCTGCCCCGTCGAGCGGCAAGGATGAAGAAGTGCAGCGATGGCTGGAACCAGCTCCAGCACAAGAATCGCGGAAAAGGGTGGGGTTTAGAGAAGATGAGACCATGAGAGGCGTGTCGCCAACTCGGCCAAACCTCGTGGCACATGTTGTGCCAGGCAGACCCGTTAGTTTACGCAGGGATGGCCCCATGCTAGCATCAAGCAGGCTGCGTGGAAAAGGTTGCGAACCCTGAGAGGCGCAGGTTTCGCCGTGCGCCGCATCTTGAATATGTGATGTCATATGACTGCCCTGATTTGCGAAGGCAACAAGTCTGTTGCACCAGCATTTTCTTTTCCAGGTGCCGGTGGCCGTCCATCCGCTCCTGCGGGGGCTAATGCAGCAGGAGTCACACCAGCGCATCTCGCCGCTGGGACATGTTTTGCTACCTTTTTTGAATTGAGCAGTGCCTGAAGCCCTGGAAGCCGGTCATTGTAGCTAGACCCCTAGTTGTAAAAATGGATTCAATCAAGAAATGAGCGCTTTTGGGCGCAGAACAATTGGGCCAAAGGAAATGGGTGCCTGCTTGCGCCGGGGCTCTATGAATGGAATGTATTCCACCGATGTTCTATGAGAAGGTATGTCTGTATGACCATGCGCTACAGGCAGTTCTGTTTCTTGAGCTTGCAACCTTTCCTACTAGCCCACACCGGTTCATATGATGGATGCTCCACCTACTTACTAAGTTGCATGTAGCCATGGAAATAAGTCACAACTGGAAGAACAGGGGTTGTTGGCACTGAGGCTGGACGATTGCCTGTCTTCGCGCTGGGTGGGCCACCAAGAGTCTTAGGTCAGCCTCACAGCCGGGCAACGGACCAAGGCGGTGGAGCATGGGAAGCGAGCCACTTCTCAGCCCAAGGATGCCGTTGCACCTGTCGCCAGCAAGGGGGGTTGACAAAAACCACCGACCCTTTTGGGGGATCGTTTTAATGGCGGCGCAAACGGGCACCGTGTCTGGGGTGGCATTGTTTTTTGACAACCCGCCACATGTCTTCTTTGCGCCAGGATACGGCAGTCCGCCTGCAGCCCAGCTGGGCGGGTTGAAGATGGTATAGCTGAACTTGGCTGAGAAAATGTAAAAATATACGATCGTTGGCATTGTTCAATTGGCATGCAGAGCATAGTGACACCACGTTTGCTCCGGCAAGGACGTGTCCGCTTGTACGTGCGCGAGTGCGGGCACGCGTGCGGGCGCATGGGTGCGCGTGCGGGTGTACGTACGGGCGTGCGTGCGGGCGCACGGGTTTGCGTGCGGGTGTACGTACAGGCGTACGCGGGCGTGCGGGCGTACAGGCGCACGTACATCCGTCCGCCCATAAAATATGACCTGATTTGTGAAAAACAGGGTCTTGTCTTTTTAAAAAACCACCTTGTTTTCGAAGAAAGGCTTTATTTTTTCTGGTCACGCGCATGCGCGCATCCGTCCGCCCACCCGCGCGTGCTTCCGTACACATGCACGCGTCCGTACGCCCGCGCCCGTGTCCGTGCACACGTCCCGTACAGGTTTTGATTCATTATACGAGCATGCGTGTTGAAACTAGTCAGCATATACGGAGGTCAAGGTGACATCGCGCTAACCAAAATACCAAAAGGAAATAGGTAAGTCACCAAATTCTTGTGAAGTAACGGGACACAATGAACATTGACTATGGCTCAGCTGGTCATCCACTTGTGTCCGCATGGCTTTTGGCTATTCACCCTATCAGACAATGGTATGGCAGGCCAAGGCCGACATCTTAAAGTCATCTGAAATGTGGCGCTGTGAATAAAAGTCTCAACGCCCGAACCAGCGTCACACGGCTTCAGGCGTCCATACTGGAGACACGAACCAGCCTGGAGCCAACAAGCGCGTTCACGCCAGTAGCCAGTCTTGCGCCCTGAGGCAGGCCAGTTCGATGAACAGCGCGGACACTCCGAAGGACAGAAAAGGTGTACAAAGCTGAGAAGCCAGTGACAATCCAAGCGTGTCGCGCTGTTTTTTGGTTGCTTTTTTCACGTGACAGGAGTTTGTTCGCCCACAACTTCCGGGAAACCCTGTGCTTGCCTGCTTCTTAGTTCTGCGCGCCCATGTGCGCACTAGATCGGGCCGGACGTCTTGGATACGAAAGTCTCACAATGGCTCCATAAAACATAGGGAGGTCCAGGACGCATGTAGAAATGTGTTCATTTGCCACGGGGGGGGCCTCTTTACCGGAATTGGATTTTTGGTCTTTGGGTTGGCCGACACGGGAGGGCTTGGCCTTGAGGTGAGGCCATTGCGAGGCGGGGTCTCTGGGCCAGCGCTGACCGTCGATTGGCGGCTCCAAACGGTGCGTGACACACGCTGTAGGCAGGAAGCAAGTATGGTTTCAGCAACCAAGATGAAACCAGGACACCTTCCACGGGTTCACAGACTTTTGCTTGCGAGACAAGCAACACTTCCTGCAAACCCAGCAAGCTAAGCGCAACTTGCCTGCACACCTTGGTTCATTTGACCACGCCCCGACTTTGAGTCGCTTGCATCGACAGGCCCACACCTCGGGCACACGCGCAGCTCCTCCAGCTCAACGGCTACACCGTCTAGTGCCCGACCGGAAGAGTTGTGTTTTTTTATGGTTTTTAGGGAAGGGAAGCCGAAGCGCATCTTGGGATTCAGTTCTGATTGAGGCAATCTCGAAGTCGTGCGTTGGATTTGGAGGGATTGTGGCCCCATGGAATTTGCTTGCCTTTGGCAGGTGTGTGCGCCCAGAATTTGGCGTTTTACCTCTTCTGTAGACACACCACAGTCTTGCTTTAGCAAGGCGCCAAATTCTGCTGCCGCGGTACAAATTCAACGGGGCAGCAGGGGGTCAAGCAGCGCCAAATTGTCGCCGTAGCAGGGGGAGGCGGGGGGCAAAAGGTGCCACGAGAGTAGGCGGCGCGGACGCGCGTGGTACGGGCGTCGCGGGTGGCGTGGATGCGGCAGACGCGGATTCCGCCGGCAGTCTGGGGCCCTCGCTTTGAACTTGCGCGCCAGTGACCCAATTATTCTTGCAGCGAGGAGGGAGTTTGTGACACGTTGCCCCGCTGTAGTCGCTGTAGTGTAGACACACCGGGAACTGACCCAAAACCCACAACAAACCGACCCTTCGCCCAGCATATTAAAGAAACCCAAGGGCGCCCTAAGCCCGCCCCAAGCTCAACTAGCCTCAAGCCATGCAAAAACCAACCTGTACAGCGACGGACACACACTTAGAAACGACTTTGGTTTCCAATCTAGAAACGACAAAACAGTAAATTACACACTTAGAAACGGTTCAGCCCACAAACGCGTTTCCCCCTTTATGTTGGTTCTGACGCATATTACTTAGAAACGTTTGTAAGTGTTGCCCGAAAGGTATCTGTGGCTTCTAGGCGTTGGTCATGAACGTTGCCCCGAGAGAGAGTGAAGAGTCGACAATGCAAGAAAAGCAAAACTACCCAAGCAATCAAACACGCATGATAGCCTTAAGAGACCTTCGGGCAGCCAAACACTGAGAAAATACAAATCTTCATTTCATCGTTTATTCATCATTTTGGTATCGCTTGGCCTCATCAGCTTTCTTCTTTTGTTCACCATTTCTTGGATTCATGATTTCCCCGCTTTCTGCACAAACGAGTTGCAGTGGTCGTTGGTGGTGGTGGTGGTGGTGTTGGTGGTGGTGGTGTTGTTGGTTGTTGTTGTTGTTGTTGCTGCTGCTGCTGCTGATTTGTGAACAAGTTACGGGAACACTTGCGCATGATGGTGAAATGATGAATCAGTGGTGAACAAATGATGATTGGCTAGCACTTTCTTCTCAGAATTTGCCAAGGAGTTCTTCGTCAGGAAAACCTTCATGGAATATGTTTTTGTTCATCATTTGTCCATCATGTTTCCATGAGTCCGCACGAATACCTGCAAACATGTCTTGTAGCGTTGGAACAAAGCGTACGTGTTGAACAGAAACCGAGAAAACGCAACCGAGAAACAACATTTTTTTGCAGAACAACGATGAACAAATGACGAGAAATTATGAAACGTGATGAAGCAATGATGAAAATGAAACATGATGAAGCAATGATGAACAAATGATGATTTGTGCTGAAAATCATCATTTTGTCATGGCGCTCAGCATAAATCATCGCGACGCGATGGAAAATTGATGACCGATGATAAGAAACTGGCGCGGTTTCTTTTGGTTGCCTGAGCTTGGAATTAGGAGGGGTGAACAGATAGAAACGCTACAGATTGAACCAATTGGACGTGGGTACCATGTCTACACACATGGTGTCCACGTCCAATTGGTGGAATCTGGAGCGTTTCTAGATCTTCACTGACCTAACTGCAAGGTCGGCTACATGCCCCAAGGATGCAACATAGTATGTGCATATTTTGTATCCATGCTGGGCGTTTCTAAGTGTTCACCACCCAGCGGACTGCAAGCTCTGGCACATGCCTGACAATGTAACAGACCATGCGCGCGCAACATATCCGTTCTTTTATTTTGAGGTATTCGTCTTGTATAGATCACGCCTTGTCGACACCCGTGTGTTTGCACAAGGTTAGCAATTCTTCACACACGAATCCGTGGCAAATACCAGCCCGTGCTACATGTTGAACAGGGCCGTCGCCCAGGGCTCCGATATCAGCGCGTTGGGCCCCTGCGTTCGGGCCCCCCCTTTGTAGCCCTTGTTGGCGTTGGCTAGCATGCTTCTGGGGAAGTAAAAGCCATGCTAGCTGCGCGCAAACGTCACGTGCGTCAGCAAGACATGGACTATATGTCATCAGTCAAGCAAGTGGTGCATTCCTTCTGAGGCTGCAGCAGCATGTTCTTGGTCAAGAACATGGCGTGGTTCCCCCTTTTTGCCCAAGCTTGAAATCAGCTGGGGGCTGAACGCGTAGAACCGGTTCCCCAGCATCCTACCCATTGGACTTGTTAACGTCTGAACCGACAAGCCACACGTTTGACGGCGCAAGATGCTTTGTGTTTCGCGCGCGCAAGTTGGCAATGAGGTTCAAGCCCAGCAGGCCAAGAACGTTTTGCGCGCGGCCGTGACGGTTTGTTCCTCGCAGGGGAAATCGGAGCCCTGGATGACGGCCCTTGGAGTAACATTTAGCGCGGGTTGGTGCCACGGACTCATGTGCTAAGAATGACCAACCATATGCCCGAGCTTGCAGTCAGCTATTGCGGGTACTGTGTGTGTTAAGCGTGGCCAACGACAAGGCTGATCTGTAGACCTTAAACTTTGAGCGCGGGTCACATCCTCGGGGCATCTACCCAACCTTGCAGTGGCATTCTACCAAATGGACGTGGGTGCCATGTACACACACAAACTTTGCTCCCACGTCCAACTGGTAGAGCCTGTAGTGTTTCTATTTTTCACCCCCAGCAGATTGCAAGCTCGAGCAACCTCAAGAAAGCACGCCTCTTGCTTGACCAAGAACATGCTGCTGCAGCCTCAGAACAAATGTGCCACTACTTGACCAACGATTTACAAATCATGTGTTGCCACACAAGGCCCGTTGGTAGCATCTGGGGCGTTTCGATGTTCACCCCGAAGACTTCAAGCTACTGCACGCGTGGAAACACAATATTGCTCATGTCTACACACGTGGGCGCCCGCGCAAGTCCAGAGGGGGGGGGCGTTTCTAATTGTTCACCGCCAGCTGACGACATGTTTTCACACAGACACACTCGCGCAACACCCACGCCCGCCCGCAAGTCCAAATTGATAGTAGGACGTGCGTGTCTACGTGTTCACCCCCGCCTGACTGCAAGCTCGAACGACTTCCGTAGTATGCATTTCTTCATTAATTTCACCCATGCTGCCAAGGCGCGGACATCTTGTGGACACAGATGCCGGCCTGGCGGACGCGCAATCCTTGTGTCTAGTCGGGAATTGCCTCTTTGGACACACTCATGGTAGGCTTGGGCAACCACCTTCCCGCCAAAGAGCGATTGAGCCCAGCGTTCCGGGTCATGGCCCACGTGCTGCCACGAATGATAGCCCAGCACCTGGCTGTCGAACACTACGTCAGGTTGTGATTTCAACACACGCGTTGTGTATCTGTATTTAGCCATCTCTATGTATAGAAGCACTTGCGTCCAAGGTTTGGGTCACAATGCGGCGCCGCAAGCAGTGCGCTGCTTTCGCCCTTGTGCCGCATGCATGTGCATGCGTAGATGCAGCACGCTGCCATCGGATGGCACGCGCACACACCCGCACGAGTTTGCGCATTGCCAATGCGAATATTACGTTGTGCGCATTTTCTGATGAGCAAGTGCATCGCACTAGTGAAACAGCGATCTCCTTGCATGAGCGCACAGTTTGTGTATATACTTTCTATCTCGTCAATCCTACGCAGTCGGCCTTTGAGTTATGAAACTCCATATTCACACGTGGCTTCACGTCACGCGTTGGCTCACACGCACAAAGGTGCAACGCTTTGTAAATTTGCCTTCCACGCACGCGTGCGCGTTTCCATGCAAGCACATAAGCTAGTTGCTTGTCACCCCACATCAGCCAGCCATCATTGACGGTGTCTGGATGCCCACCCGCTCCCCACAGGTTGACTAAGCGCATACTCACATAAATTTCAATCAAAGTGTAGGCAAACACGCTATATAAATAGGGTTTATGCGCACAGGAGCAACAGAAATGCGCACGTATATATATATATATAAATATATATATATATATATAGATATATACAGGCATGCACGCGCCTGATCGCAGAACATCCACTGCAAGGGCATGCGCGACGCCAGACGACGTCCTTCCGACGCGCTGCCACACGCCCTAATCGCAACTAGGAGGCTTCTTTCTCAGACCTGCGTTTTTTAGTCCACCCAATTTGGCCGACATGCCGGTGGCGCAGGAGGTTGTGTGGCACGACTCGTTGCGTGGCTCAAGCCGAGTGCTTCCAGGTCATCGCTGCTGTTTGCCAGAACGTAAAGACCGGCCTCATCCTCAATCGCCTCGTCCGGGCTATTGAACTTGTGCGTCTGATCTGCGTAGTCACCGGCTCCGCATCGTCCAATATCTGCAAGAACCGGTCTGTCCAACTCGGAAGGGGTCGAGGCGGTGGCCTCTAGAGCGCCGGCGAGCCTGTGCGCAGTTCCCCTCACAGGAGCTTGGTGGCATCATCGCTCAGGTTGAGCCCCAGCTTGCTGAAAAGCAGCTGCCCGCTTGCCGGCGCGCCTGATTTGTTGGGTTCTGGTAAGCGGCTTGCCTTTCTCAATGCGCTGGCGGATGGCAGCCAACCTGCGCACCCTCATTTGCTGATGTCCTCGTTCAGCTGGATGGCCCACTGGTGAGACACAGAGAGAGGCCCCCCCATAATTGGAACCCTCGAATGATCAGGCGGGGCGAACACTTAGCAACACATCCAGATCCTTCTATGAACCTTCAACAACGTTTTGCGTGCAGATGGCTTTGCCAGCCAACGCAAACACAGGTTAAACAGGCAACATGATAGAGCTACAGAAAAAGATAACCCGACTAAACATGGCTTTGTGCACGGGGCCAATCTAATGTAAGGAAATGAGCAGCTGAGTCTATTTCCTTTACTACACTTATACTGA